GCCTCCATTCCACCGGGTGAGTATTCCCCCTCGACAACAGATCCGCCCCGATATTCATTTGGCCTGGCACATGTGTCGCTCTGAGAGACAGCAAATGCTTCCTGCTCCATAACAATATTCTCTTTGCCAAGGCATGCAGACTCCTCGATCGGACTCCCCCTTGCCTGTTTATATAGGCAACCACTGTTGTGTTGTCTGATCTGACTAACACATGACAGCCTCTTATCTGCCGAAGGAAGTGTTTGAGGCCAGAGAAACTGCAAGGATTCCCCCTCGACAACAGATCTGCCCCGATATTCATTTGGCCTGGCACGTGTCGCTCTGAGAGACATCAAGTGCTTTCTGCTCCATAACAATATTCTTTTTGCCAAGGCATGCAGACTCCTCGATCGGACTCCCCCTTGCCTGTTTATATAGGCAACCACTGTTGTGTTGTCTGATCTGACTAACACATGACAGCCTCTTATCTGCCGAAGGAAGTGTTTGAGGCCAGAGAAACTGCAAGGAGTTCCAGACAATTTACATGCATTACTTTGATTCTGTCCATACCCCATTCACAGGTTGTCCCTCCATTATCGCTCCTCAACCCAGTGAGGACGCATCTGTGGTGACCACCTTGCGATTTGAGACTACTCCCATTGCCATTCCTTCCCTCAGGAATTCCCTGTCCCGCCAGATGAGCAGTGCCTTGAGGCATTGGGCTGAGACACGGACCTTTCTGTGTTACTCTCTGGAGGGATTTAATTTCAGGGAAGCAACCCATCTCTGAAAATCTCTCATGAACAGTAGCCCCAAAGGCACTACTGCTATGACAGAAGCCACGAGGCCCAGCAACCCCAGACACAGCCAAAAAGAGATTTTTTTCCCCAGATGAAACTGACTTACACAGTTCCTTAAAATCTCCCTCCTCTGTTCTGACAGGGTTGCCCGGTAAGATACTGAGTTTAGGTTTAACATCCTGGGGTCGACAGTTCCGCCGGCGGGAATTTTTGCAGATTTGAATGTTGACAGCGAAAAGAACTAAAATGCTCCTTCATACTTGACCGTACATATAAGAGTAATACAGCATTTAAATCTGTAAAGGGTCTACTTTTATTTGTGTACACTCAAAATATCAACAAAACATTGTGCTTTTGCAAAATAAAGAAAATATACAGGGTGTGCTTTTAGCCGTCTCATTCTCCGCGCATATCTGTTTGAAACGTGTAAGCAACTGAAAAAAGCACAAATGTCAGGGCATGTCAAAACTTTTCCAGGCCCCGAAACACCCTTGGACCCCAGAGGGTTAAACCCAGAAATATTATTGACTGAGTCGGCGTTAACGAGCTCTTCTTCTGGTTTACTACAAAACCCAGAGCATTCAAATGCATTAACACTGCCTTTGTATGCAGATCTGCCATCTCCTTCGACCTGGCACAAATTAACCAGTCATCCAGATATGCTAATATCCTTATACCCTGTTGTCTCAGCGTTAGTGACGCTTCCACACATTTTGTAAAAATGCGGGGTGCTAGAGACAGGCCAAACGGTAGAACCTTGAACTCGTATATCTTGCCATGGAAAGCAAACCTTAGGAATTGTGCTGAGGATGGATCTGAATATGGAAATAAGCAACTTTCAGATCTATTGAGGTGAACCAGTCTCCTCTTTGTATAGAATGGGGCAGGGATTTGTGTCAACATTCTGAATTTGTATTTTCTCGGGTGTTTGTTTAAAGTTCTGAGGTCCAAAATAGGCCGTATGCCTCCCCCTTTCTTTGAGATCAGAAAATACTGGCTGAAGAATCCCTTCTTTGATTCTTCTGCAAGTACTCCCTGAATTGCTTCCTTGAGAAGGAGAGAATTTATCTTTTCCCTCAAAATGTTTACATTCTCTGCCTGCACTCTTGACTGTTTTATTCCCGAGAACCCCGGAGGTCTTCTCGCAAATTGCAGTCTGTACCCCTTTTGAATCGTGCTGAGTAACCACTGAGAATCTGTGCATTTTACCCAATTGTCTAGGTGTACTGATAAATCTCGCACCTCGTTCAAATGTGGTGTTGGAGAGACCTCTAGTGGCGAAACCTGGAACTGCAGTAGACTTTCTACTTGCATTACAGGTGTTTTCAACAATACAGTTTGTACAGGGTGCCTGTGTAACACCGTATTGTGACTTAAACAATCTCTTTTCATTTGTATGAGAGATTTGTTTGAATTTAGAAAAAGGTAAGAATAAGAGACCACACAATGTTTGTATGCATAAACAGTCTGCTTTATGTGATTCAAAAACACAGGGGAAACAGGTGTGTGATGGTGCTTATTGACATTCTCTACTCGACCCCATGGTATGTGCGGTGGTTGGTGAGTGCCTTTGATGCTCATCATTGTACTCCGGGGAATTTGCGGAGACAATGTGAGAAACAGATCGGGATCTGCTAAACCGCCTGTTTCTTCTTTCTTCCCCTCGCAGTCAGAGTTGGCGGGGCCGCTGCCACTGCTGCTTGAGCGAAGGATTTCCGCTGCCAAGAGGGAGATTGTTTATCTTGATCATACGGAACAACCACCCGTGAGGATGTAGTTCCCCTTCTCGGCCCGTGCCAATATCCTTGCCCTCTTGCTTGTGTATAAACAGGACGACGTGATGTTTGTCGTTGCATAGGGGCTCTACATGGCACAAACGACCTGAAGGCTTCTTGTTCCCTTCTCTTTGCCTCGAATTGCTGTTGCATTGTTGCCACAGCTGGCCCGAACAGGCCTTTAGGATCTACCGGCTGATCAAGAAAGTAGGTCTTATCTTTTTCCCCCATGGTGGACAAATTCAGCCAGAGTGCTCTCTGCCCAACTACTGCCAGACCCACCGTACTTCCCGTGGACTGAGCCAGGCATCTTGAGGAGCGCAATATGAGATCCGTCACTGTGCGAATCTCGGTCCACAGCTCAGTGACGTCCTTTACTTGCGACAAGGCCCCTGTCATCTCCTCCTCCAGTTTGGTAATGTAAGCCAACAGAAGAGTGATCGCGTTAGTAGCTCGACCCGTCTGAGTTGAAGACTTATAAATCTTCTAAAAAAATCGATGGAGAGAAACTATAAGGTCTTTGAGGCAGCTTAGGTGCGATCGTGGATAACCCGACCGCCGATCGGGGATCCGAATGGTCTGCCAGTGATGTCTCCATTGACGGCATGTGAGACCAGCCCATCTCCTGCATGCCTGCCATGTCCAGCGAGGAAAACCCATATACTGGAACTCTAGATGACAATGGTCTTTCCCAACATTTCATCAGATCCTCCATACAGTCCTGGAAAGGTTGAAGTGCCTGATTAACTGTTGAGGTAGTAGGAACAAGGAACTTCCCATCTAGCCTCGAGCGTTTTGCGGCAGGTAGAGCAAATGGCCAATCAACGCCCAGTCTACTCGCCACTGGACGACAAACTTCGTGCAGAGTTGTACCCCCTGCTGCCGTCTGCTGTTCTTCTACTCCTGGCTGGTAACCAGGGGACTCCGTTCGAGGAGCAAACGGGTCTTCGTCATCCTCCTCCTCGCCATCATCTGGGATGCTGTTGTGTCTCTCCCTTGTACGGGATCGCTACACACATCCTGCTCAAACACCGCTCTTCTGCGCAGCACCCCAGGAGACAGTTTGCTGCATTAATTACAAGAGATTTTAATGCCGCTTGGGCATGTTCCGGGCTCAGACATGCCGGGCATACCACATGAAGATCCTTAGCTGCAATAGTGAATCCACATCCCCCAGGACAATGTCGAGAGGGTGCTCTAGACTTGTTTGACTTTGTGGAAGAAGCCATAATTGAACTGGTAAGTTGATTTTATCTACTTTATGTGCTTATGTGTTTGTTTCAATACACTTAATGTTCTTAGATAGCTTGACGCCCTACAACAACTGGTAACTTGTCTTTCGGACAGTTTAGCCTTGCCAAAGTAACACTAAGTGCACTGAAAACAAGGGCTCGTAGCTTGGATGCCGCGAGTGAAGAGATGTAAGATGCCATACTGAGCCAGCGCTGCTGTTTAAATAGGAAGGGGTGGGGGCTTCCCGAGAGCACTGGCCTGATGGGCGTGATTGTAAAGGGCTTCATGGATGGCCACGCAAGAGGCGTTTCCCATAGTGAGATATAGAAATAGAACTTTCATTTGGCCCCTTCATTCAAGTGCTGGGTTCACGAATATATCACCGGATCATTGGTGTTCACTGAACTAGTTGGCCAAAAAGAACCGGTTCAAAAGAATGATTCGTTTGTGAACCGGACATCACTCCGGACCGTTTGCCTGAGGCTCTGGATTACAGGTAATAATGTTCAGTTTCTTACACAAACCGATCATTTCACTTCATAAGACCTCAATATGTTGCCAGGAGCCATGGGTATTCATTTTGTGTTGCTTTTTTATTTTTTAAAATCTCAGACGGTCTGCCACTGACTCGCATTTTATGACTCACCAAGGACCATGGCTTCAGCTAAAAATCTTCTAACTGTTTTACTCAAGAAAAAAAAAAAAAAGTCACCAACATCTTGAATGGCCTGGGGGTGAGAAAATTAACAGCACATTTTCATTTTTGGGTGAACTGTCCCTTTAGATATGCAACCTGATAAGGCCATGTGAAAACATCTATTCTTGCACAATGAATGTTTTTTAGCAGTAGTTTCTGCTAAACAGCAAATACATCAAATAACCCAGACGCCTGTGAAAAACTCACAAGGACACTTTATTCAAAGACAAGAAGCAAATCATCACTCATCGAGCCAAACCAAATGCATACATGCATAAAGTTAATTTTAGAAGTCAATTTTTAAAAGTAGAAAGGTTTTCTGAATAAAAACATCTGTAAATGTTTCTACATAAAGTAGAATAAGTGTCCTAAGATGATCCACCATAACAATTTAAGGAGGAACCACAAAAAAACATACAATACACACTTTGCATATCTGACTGTGAAATTACCTTCTTAGCATAACAAACCCATTTAAAGAGCACAAGATTGGGAACTTGAGAAACATCCTGATAACTCGCTATCACTGAAGGTAGGCCAACATTTCATCAGTTCACCCTCAGCGCAGTTTAACAGGTCAGTGCTTTTTCATTCATGAGGGATGAACAGCTGATTACTAATTATGCTGTACTTTAACAAACGCAAGATTACACTTTCTCAACTGTATCGCATCATGGTGTCAGTAATGGAAATTACATTAGCATATTTCTTCATTTTATGTATGTTTAATTAATAATCTGCTGTTATGATTTGCCTGTTGATATTGTAGACAGATTTGCCTTTTTACTGTATTATGTGCTTATATTTTCGTAATTTGACTGCATAGCAAAGAGCACATATGTTGTGTAAAACTGAAAATATATATTATATAAATTCATAATTATATAAATTTGAAAATAATATACAATTTTAACCTAAAAAATAATAATCAAGACGTTTTTTTTTTAAATTTTTTTTTTAATGTTTTTCCAGTGACAAAACCACTGGCAAAGTGATGGACCAAATTTGGCTTCATCTGCTTTTTCTTTCAGGTAAAACATCATGCAAAACATTAAAACACATAATTAAAAAACATTGAAATATGTAACAACATTACAAAAGAAATTAGAACAGATTTGCATATTCTTGCTGTATTACATACAATGATATTATGACAAAATGCAATAAAAACTTTGTAGGCAAGAGTGAGACAAGGAGAATTAGCCTAAGCTCAATGTAATCAAGTCAAAAATCATTCAGATTGTTAACTTACAATGGATAATTAAAGCAAGCAGAGAACCAAAGAAATATGACTTATAAAAACAACAAAAAAGCTGTAAGTTCTGTTGCTATCAGCCGGTTATTATGAAGATTAATCGAGTAATAAACTCAAGTGAAGAATAATATAGCAGGCTTTCATTTTAAAGAAAGTAAAATATTTTGAAAGAAAAATAAAAAGCTTTTAAAATAATACAACTAATGACTGGATCAAAACATTATATTATTGAAATACTCTGTTAAAATGCATAATGTATAATGCATTTATGTTTTATGTCATTTTCATTACTTGTGATGAAGTTTATAATAATACCAGCAGAGGACATCAATGCACTGATAGTTGAAGAACAATATTCAAATCAAATCCTTATTTAATCCAAACTATATTTAAATATTTAAATTAAATATCTTCTCCAATATTTGACCAATGCTTTACGACAGAAACGCTACAGTGACTGAAATTTCTTTATCAAAACATGCAAAACCAAAGACAAACTCACTCGACAAGCTCTCGTTCAACAATGACCAAACAAACTATAGGTGTCAGAATAAAAACAAGGTGACTGGGACTATTACAGCCAGCCAACTGGAAACTTTCAATAGGAAAAATACTGAAACCACTGTATTCTCTTGCCAGGACTCCTGTCATTAACTCTGTGTAAACCACAAGAGTATATTCTGTACAAAGAGTTAAAGACGTGGGAAAATGCACAGAATTACTGCAGGACACACCATAGTGATCTGGCCACCGTTCAGAGTAATGAAAACTGGACGAAGCTGCTAGAAGCTGCAGGGGAACAACGCTTTTATGGCTTTGCCTGGATCGGACTGTTCAATGACATCAAAAGCTGGCGCTGGTCTTATAATGAGGAGAGTCTGGTGTTCGAGTCCTGGGGTCTTGTCCAGCCAGATAACTACGGTTACGGACAGGAGTGTGCCGCCATCTTTCCTAACGGAGCCTGGGATGATTTCTACTGCACCATCGAAAAATATTTTGTGTGTTACGATGGTGAGAAACACGTATAATCACTCTTTATTGATGCTCATTAATTCAGTGTATGAATACAGACACCAATATAATGACATTAGGGTGGGAAAACATTTACATCATAAACCAGTGTTATTTCAGTATCACTGAGATGCTAGTATAGCTTTTCTTTTTTTATATATATTTTCTGTTCTCATTTTATTTGAGTTTCAGATGTTGGAACAGTTAGTATCTTCACATCAGATTTGATTTAAGCAAATTGCATGTGTTTTGGCACATGTGTAACTACAATTCTCTATGATTTACACAATAACTTAATGCACATGGCTTGTTGATCAAAACTGAGGAGTTGATTCTCAGTGAAAGTGTCACAACTTCTATACATTCTTTCACTGAGTGAGCCATCACATACAAAATGATTCATTTATCAAATTATCATTCAATTATTAAAATCTGTCAGATGTGTGTGAAGGCTATATGCCATAAATATCTGACACAGAATGGTTGTAATGTCTGCTAAGTTGGCAGATGGCTTGCCATCGGAGTTGCAAAGAGGCGGAAAATTCCTAGTAAATTTCGAAAACTTTCAGAAAACTGTTGTAAATGTTTTGAAACTTTTGGAAAGTTTCCGGAAATGTACCAGAAATGTTCCAACCCTTCTTGCCATTGCAATGAAATAAGAATCAGGACATTTGGAAGCATGTACAGTATATGCAGTTTGCCCAGCACAATCGCTACCATTTTTGAACAAGGAGGAACATCACAAACAGCACGTTTATACGTTTATACTTGTACAGTACATTTATCTGTAGAAATGTCTTACATGTAAACTGAAAAGTCACAGTTGCTTGTTGTGGAAGCGCAATAGGAAGATATGCAAGAATGTGTGATGGTTACGGGAAGACAATAGAGTTTGTAAAAATGAATTAGCAATGGTGAATTTTCAGTTTAAATGAAACATTTCTACAAAAATAAATGTACTGTATAAATAAAAAAAAATAAATATCTTTTTGTGTACTACAGTATTGACTTTTCCCAATGCATTTTTACCTACTGTTGAAATATCTATCTAAAATGCTCAGTGTGATACACAGACAAATCTGACAAACTGTAAATGTCTACATAGATTATTTATTTCAGTTTTAGTTATTTTAGTACATCAAGATTGAAAAAAAAAAAAATCAAAATGAGAAATGTTTCATTGGACACTAGCTGAAGTCACTAAATTTAATTTTTTTTTATATTTTATTTTATTTCAATTAACATTTATTTTATTTCAGATAATAAAAATGTTTTTTATGGATTTAGTTTAAGTTCACTATAATAGCCCAGTCATACACTTTTGGTCAATAATGATCAAACTATAAAGTTTTACAAGTATTCAGTACACTGAAATCTCTTTATTTCGATACAGAAAATGCTGAAAGGAATGATAAACTTGCAGTTCAGATGCTGAGAAGCCAAATAAAATAAAAGACTCGTCAGGCCAATTCAAACCAGTATCATTAGTGAACACTAGATCAAAACAAACAAACAAAAAAAAACATAATAAAATAAATAAAAGGTTGTCAAGACAAATCTTGATGTTGGCTTGAGAAAGCCTAGTTGCAAAAGCTTTAAGTTTGAAACAGTTTTAGGGTTTGAATGACAGACATACAGCCAGGATCTGAACCGTTCTCGTTCCATTCCATGCTGATCCGGCCCAGACAACATCGATGTGGTTTTGTTTTCTGCCTTTTTTTAAGCCAGGAAAAAGACAGGTGAATGATCCTGAGCGACAACATCACTACATGCATTCTGCTGCATGGTTCAGCCCGACAGATGAAAAGCGGCTATAGACAGACAGACAGATAAAGTTTGAAGTACTTTTTATTTTGAAGCAGTTTTACATTTAAATAAGTTTTAAAAAAGCTTTGAGGGTTTTTGGTTTCTCTATGTGGTTGCTCTTACTAGCAATTTCTGAGTGAAAATTGTTCCTACACTAATTTTTTTCAGCATGTATTAATGTTTTCTGCTAGTAAATTTCACAAATAATTACAAGGAAATGGCAAGTAACAATAAATTAAATGTGAAATTTTGAAGAAAAAACGAAATCGTATTTTCTTGAACAATTTACTCCAATTTTTTACGTCTTTTTTTTTTTTTTTTTTTACTTGTACATGAATAATGATAATGATAATAAATGTTTAATTTTTGGGTGAACTATCCCTTTAAACTCCCATTTTATCCATGCTTTATCTATGTAAATACTAGGACTGCAATGATACACCTGTCTGCTGATTTCAAAACTATCACAATACTTGGGTGCCGATATGATATGTATTGTGATTTTTAAGAATTTCCTCTAGAGATGCACCGATTGAAATTGTCTTGGCTGATTGACCTGCAGATACTGATTTTTGCTGATTCTGATTTTCTTTAAAAACTATCATTGACAGCATACAAACAAAAATCTACCTTTTTCAATGCAAAATTTTATTTTCATAATGAAAGAAATTATTAAACATTAAAATTTCCCCCAAACACTAAGTTACAAATGTTCTCTAGCTTAAACAACTCTCAAAATAAAGTGCTCTGTCACTGGAAAGAGGTAGAAATGAGTTGCTGTGTATAACAAAACAGATGTCATTTCCCACTAGGTTTATAAATGGGCAATTTTCTTCTTTTTCTTAACCTTACTAAATGTATGTATTATCTTTCATGTCAAATTCTTAAATTGTATCAATTAATTCAGTTAGAATAATAAGAAACTGTAGAGTTGTTACCATTCAAATGAAATCAGTATCAACAAACTCCATCTTTTCTCTGCAGAGGAAACAGAAGCTGCTTGTGAAGTGGCATTAGATGCATTTACACAGACTGTTTGATGAAGCCGAGGTGCCATAAATGCATTTTCAATGATTCTGAAATGTTCAGAATCGAATCAGAATGGTTGAAGAGAGAATCGTGATCCATCAGAGAATCTTTTTTTTTTTCTCCAAACCCTAGTAAATATAATTTTAAAAGGTCTTGGAATGTAGTTCTGGAACAATCTGGACATTTTCGGCAGGTTTAACAGGCTCCCACTCGTTAGAGAAAATGAATTTGGCTATAACGTCTTGACTCTATTTTTGAATTTTCACAGAAAGTACAAACACAACAGAGAAAATGGTTTTGATCAAGACCCAAAAGACATGGACTGAGGCTCAGGAGTACTGCAGACATCATTATACAGACCTGGCTACCATTAGGAGTCAAGAAGACAATGACCAGATTACCAAGTTGCTAAATGTCTGGATGGCTCCGGTCTGGATCGGATTGTACAGAGACACTTGGAAGTGGTCAGATCAGACCAATATCACTTCCTCAATTCAACTCGCTACTCAAAGATTTACTAAGTGGAATGAAAATTGTGCTGGTGCAGATAATTATTATCATGTATTTGATGACAGACATTGCACAAATATGCATTACTTCTACTGCAACACTGGTAGGTCTGGCCTGAACTCTTGTGTACATCATTTGTTTGTTATTTGTTGAAAAAAAAAAACTGAATAGGAAAATGTGACTTGGATTTAATTTATTATCTACATCAGCGTTTCACAAACTACAGTTCAAGAGGGATTGTCCGAGTGTTGTAGGGGCCTCAAATTGTATTCTTTCCAAGATTCCATTTTATTTTATCCCATACATATATTCCATTGATTTTTGGTCAAAGGGGTTTGGCTGACAAACTGTTTGGGAATCCCTAATGTATATGTTCATAAAGTAAGGTACAGTAAAATGTGCTTTCCCCACAGTCAAGAGGAAGAGGCAGGTGATCCGAGTGCAGGTGAAAGCTGCTGAGAACGTGGATGAAGCTAAACTGAAGGCGTTCGTCTTAAACAAGGTGGATTTTATAATACTCATCTGACTAAGATTAATTGTGGAACGTACTGAGTAGCTGAAGGCTGTTTATGTGTTTAGTTAAACGCTGAGCGATGAAGACGTCACACTGACATGGAGGACGCAACCCAACAGGAAAGTCTTCCAGAAAAAGTGGACTGTACCGAAACGTAGTGAAGTGAACACTACTCTTGATTGTTCTCATTTTAACTGAAATTTATCTAAAATGAATGCAATTCATTCTTCGTTACAGATATCTGAATTATTATTATGTATTATTATGTAACACTTTATTTTAAGGTGTCCTTGTTACACATGTTACATGTACTTACTATTGTAATAACAATTAATTATGCATAATTACATGCAAGTAACCCTAAGCCAAACCCTAATACTAACCCCAATGATATAGTAAGTACATGTAGTTAATTAATAATAACTACAAGTACATGCAGTTCATTAATATTAATATTACTCAGTACTTAAATGTATAATTACACTGTAACAAGGACACCTTGAAATAAAGTGTAACTTTACATTATATTATTACATTAGACTAACAATTTATAGTCATTTACAGTAATTTCCCAAAAATAATTATATTATGCACATATAGATATATACATAGTTACAAATATTCATTTTGTATTTATTCATTTAGTTGACATATGTATGCCTAAATAGGAGTTAACAAATAGAAGGATGTTTTTGCATTGTAAATTTACTGCTAGATTTGCCGCCTTTAAGAATAAATCAAGACCTTTGGAAGGATATAAAAAAATGCAGTCTCACAAAAGCATGAATCTATTAAACACTCTCGAGCATTCACAACACTTCACACACATCCAGACAACGTTATATCTGTAATCAAACTGTAATAAAATACGCAAGACTTTTGTTCATCTTCAGAACACAAATTTTGATATTTTTTTAATGAAATCTGAGAGATTTCCATTGGCATCCTACACCACTACCAATGTGATGCTTCAAAAAGTAATACTAATTCCATATGAATTGAACGGTTTAATCCAAATTTTCTGAGGAGACTCAATCACTTTATATGATGAACAGTTATAATTTAGGTTTTTATTCACATAAAACAATCAAAGCACTCATCAGTTATGATAAACGTAAGCTCAAGCATGCTTGACGTGAGAACCAATGGCACATTTGAGCTTTGTTCCCACACATCAAGCAAGTACAGTTGAGCTTCTGTTTAAGTTCGCTGATCAAAGTATGGGATGGTTTTTCAGAAGAACAAGAGTAAAATAAGTGTAGAGCAGAAGAGATGAGCTCTGATGCAATGCTGATGAGATCTGATGCAATGCTGTGGCTGACGGCTGCATGTTTAGAATTTTCTCTCTGATACTGTCGATCTTGGAAGTAAAGAAGTTAATAAAGTCATTATTGCTGTGCTGTTTGGAAATGTCTGCATCTGTTGATGCTTATTTTTCATTAATTTAGCCACTGTACTGTATAAATACCTGGGGTTGTGTTTGTTCTCTTCTAAGAGACACGAAAAGTAAGCAGATCTACCAGTTTTTAAGACTTTCTGTAGGTAGAAGTACTTTCCTTTCATGCAATACAAAATACCTCTAGTTTTGTTTTCTTCCAGCTGCGCTCCATTTCCCGGGCTGCTCTCTTAGGGCAGGGCTATTCAATAGGTGGCCCACGGGCCCAATCTGGCCTGCCAATCATCTTCATCTCGCCCAAGGGAAGAATATGAGGGTAGAGGTTGACCGATTGATTGGCCGGCCGATTTTTGGCATTTTTTATTTCTGCCAATTGTGCTGCAAATTAGGCCGATTTATAGGCAGGTGCATCTGCGGGCAGCTAAACGTTGTTGCGGAACACCGGAGAAGCTCTCTCTTGTTTGACCCTGCCTGTGTTCTGACCATGTTTCGAAATAAAAGCTTGCACATGGATCCTCACGCCTCACGTCTCATCGGCTCCGTTACAGAATACTCAGCCACACAAGGATCCAGCAGCTTTTCAGAGGAACATTGGCCAGGTATGGACACAGCACTTATATTATTAGTTCTTAAACAAGGCCCGCGTTCGCTGGATAACTATATTCAAGAGTATCTAGCCATTGCCTATTACTCTGATTTACCGGACTGTTTGTTGAGTTTTTTTGTGATGACATTAATCAACCGCTGAGGTCCAAGCTTGGACGCGGGGGTCCGCGTTCATCACTCTGTCACTTTATGGACTATGCTTTGTTGACTGTTGGTTCAACGTTCACTGTGGGTGTCGCGGAGAAACGCGACCTCACACTCACTCGTGTAATGGCGGCCACACTAGAGCACACTCACAAAATGGCAGACACAACAGCACCCCGTTATGTCACAGCTGCCAATCCTGAATCAAGTCAAGTCACAGTTGATCGTCATGAGTCAATTCAAGTCACAGTTGATGGTCATGAGCCAAGTCAAGTCACCGCTGATCATCCAGAGTCACGTCATATCCCAGCTGATCATCCAGAGTCTTGTCACATCACAGCTGATCATCCAGAATCTTGTCACATCACAGCTGACCTTCCAGAGTCTTGTCACATCACAACTGATCATCCAGAGTCATGCCACGTCTTGTCTGTTGCACCCAGATCGTCAAGGTCAGTCCTTCAATATCCCAGTCGGGTATCCACTGTGAGGGATACACCATTGGTGTCTGCATGCGTAGCTGGTATCCCCAAACCCACTCATTCTAACCCTTCTGTTCCTGAACTAATTCCCCTGTCTGAAGCGCTTCCCATGATGGGGATCGCTTTACGTTGCGTTTGGGCTGCGTACACCACCACAGACCTGCCAGAGGTGGCGACGTCCACTGTGATGTCTCCAGAGGAGGCGGCTGACGCTGCAGAATCTCTTGGGGTAGTGACGCTCGCTGCTGTGTTCTCCGAGGCGATGGCACTCGCTGCAGCTTCTCCAGAAGTGGCGGCACATGCTGCAGAACCTCCCAAAGCGGCAGTGCTCGCTTCATCTCCTTGTACGGTGGTGGCGCCCAGCAATGCACTTTCAGCCTGTCATGTCGCAGTCAAGGGAACCGTTGATGAACGCTGTTCCTGTCCAGCTAAGGAGAATGTTAATGAACTCTTTGCCTGTCCCGTCACGGCTAAGGAGGCCGTCTGTGAAATCTCTGCCCGTCCTGTCACGGCTATGGAGGCCGTCTGTGACTCTCTGCCTGTCCTGTCACGGCTATGGAGGCCGTCTGCAAACTATAATGTACAGTATGTGGAAAATAATGTGTTTTTTGAACCTTAAACCGCATAAACACATTTAATTACACCAAATACACAAAATAATGTTCTTTGTAGCAGCATAATATGACCCCTTTAAAATCCGAACATCATTGGTAATGTTATTGTTTTAGTGATTATGCAAACAAAAAGTCATTTTATTTGTTGTTTGTTGATTTTTAAATATAAAACTTGGTGAAGTGATTTATGTGTCGGTACTTTTTGAACATCTCCAGCACATTTTAACAATACTGATAACCGTGAGTATTTTGGTCACTATAATCGTGATAAGAAATGTTCATACCGTTACATCCCTAGTCTCTATAGTGTGATATCTAGGTGAAGGAGTCTCTATGTGCTGATAATTAACTGATTTCTGTGACGTGAGGGGGCTAGCAGACAGTCGGTTTAGCCAATCTGTCTGCTTCCTGACCTGGGCCCCAGTTAGTCAAGTACATATTATTAAAACTCCCAATAATTATGTGTGATGTGGATGTTTTACATAAAGTGAATAAACTAGCCTTCATCAGCTCACCTTTTTACATTAGCCATGAGAAACCATAAAAACGCTTATTTGGCTTATTATTTTTGAAATTCTCAGACAGGCTGCCACTGACTTGTATTTTATGAATCACCAAGGACCACCGTTTCAGCTAAAAATCATCTTTACTGTTCTACTGAAGAAAAAAAAGTCACCTACATCTTGGATGGCCTGATGATGAGAAAATTAACAGCAAATTTTCATTTTTGGGTGAACCACCCCTTTAGATATGCAACCTGATGAGGCCATGTGAAAACATCTATTCTTGCACAATTAATGTTTTTAAGCAGTAGTTTCTGCTACACAGCAAATACATCAAATAACCCAGTCGCCTGTGAAACATTTCCATCCTGACCACACTGATTTCCATCCTGACCTTCACAAGGACACTTTATTCAAAGACAAGAAGCAAATAATCTCTAATACAGCCAAACCAGGTGAGTTAGGGAAATGAGTTAACAAGTCAATCCAAAACATACTGAAAAAAATATTTTATATTATTCTGATAAACTACATTATCTGTAATGATGTTTACCTGATTTGATGCAACACAAATTTTTAATATCTATAGCTACACATATATAGGTTAATTTATTTCTATAGACTACAATATTACAGAAGATATTTTGCTGATCTTTAAATTTCTGTAGCTCAATCACTAGAATATGGCAACTAAAGGTGTGAATCTTCACTTTCCTCACAATTCGATTACGACTCAGAGGGTAACAATTTGATTATAAAACGATTCTTGATGCATCACGACACATCTTTTTCTCCAATTCTTTTATTAATAATTTCTGTATTAATAATCACAATACAGATCTTTTTGTTACCTTTGTTATTAAATATAAGAACTTAGTCTTAGATCCTCCCGCGCAGGTTTGCGCATTGTGCAACAACATCCCTCCAGTGTCTTTTTCGGTCTTCCATGTGGTCTCTTACCTGCAGGTGGTATCCAATGTATTACAGTCTTTGGGTGGCAATGATCAGGAATACGTTGTAGATGTAGTCGGCATTTTGTGACAATGTCTTGTAATTTCCACAAGCCTGATCACTGAAGGATCTCCTCATTTGTAATGTGGTCACTGTACAGTATGTGACCTGCAGGATTTTGCCAAGGCAGCGCTACTGGAACACATTGAGCCTATAAGCAATCTTTGCAGTGATCTTCCATGTCTCATTGGCATATATCGCGGTTGGGATAATAATTGTATTGAACAGCTGGATTTTCAGCTTAAGGGTTGATCAC